CAACTCATTTCTAAACCGATTCCTTGCAGGATACCTATTCTCGGTTCTAGTTCTAGTTCCCAGTTCAGTAGGGTGGAACTGAAACCAAAACTGGGGTTCGGTCCTATTAGCTTCATCATAGTATAGCTTAATGCCCTTGCTCCGGGTAGAAACTATTTCCTTCTCGGAATCGAGACCCTTGGTACCCGTCGGGTCCAGGTAGAACCTACTCTTGCTGACCCCCAATATTTACCAATTTTCTGTTTTGTGATTGGTATAAAAAGAGAAATTGTCTGAAAACCATGCAAAATATAAGCAAATATATAATTATAGGTGGGAACGAATTTTATATAAATTTAATTAGCATATAGTAACCAACAAAAAATCACTCTCATCCAAGTGAATCTCACAAACAAAGGCATCTAGAGATATGGTTAGTAGGAGTGGTCAAAACAATTAACCGATTTTGTGAATCGAACGCTTTTTTAGTTTATGAATTTTTCTGAACCGAAACCGAATCGGTTAAGGGGAAAACCAGTTTTTCGATTAACCAGTTTTTAATCAATTTTAATTTAATATTAATATGTAATATTTTAATATTTTATAATAAAACACGACTTTTTTTATTTAATATTTTTATAATAAACCGCTTTATAAAAAAGATTCGGTTAACCAATTCTTATTCTTGTAAATCGGTAACCGACAAAAAAATCAATTTTTTTTATTTCTTTGATCAAAATTAAACGTTTTTTGGATAACCGTTTTGGTTTGGTTTTATATTTTTTTGAATACCACTAATGGGTAGTCAATCCAAATGTATCTCTAGAGCATAAATTAGACTGACACACCTATGTGAAATTGGTGGACAAATTAAATAAATGAATCAATTATCTCATATAAACACAAGGGAACATCTATACTAAATTTAGAACTTCATTAAAACACACCCTTTCAAGTAATACACTTTTGATGAGACCCGACACGATGACTGCGGGTCTTTGGTACGCAACTCATAGATTTTAGGAACGCTGAATGACGTTTTCCCACCCAAAGTTTGGCCAATTATACTCTACCAAACAGACTTTGTTGTGAGACGAGGGGAATGGATATTAAGGGGTTGTTGAGGGTGTTGGGTTTTGGTTCCTGAAAGTTCATAGGTGTTTGATGAGTGGTTGTATTTTATGTTACGGTCCTTACGGACTTGGATTTAAGTCCCTTGGACTTGGATTTAATGGAGGTGGGTTGGGTTTATAAAAGATGGCTCGGGATGTTCTAGCGACTGATTGTGTTGGGCCTGAGATTTTGTTGCTGTGTATGTGGGTGGTTTGTTTGGGCAATGTGGGGGGGTTTGTGTGCGTGCTCGTTGCGTGGGCAGGCTTTGGGCAAGCTTTGTCAACATAATACACTAAATGAAGATGTGTTAAGGATAAAAACAACTGATTAATTATATATTCTTCTCCTCAATGATACATGCTTCATGGGTATATTTGTACTAGAACTTTTTACCCAAAAAAAAAAAAAAAAAAAAAAAAAAAGAAAAAAAAAAAAAAGAGAGATAAATCCTATTAGTCTAATGAATACACAAATAATTCATGCCTAAGTTTTTTCTGTTGAATAAATAATAGAGTACTTTTTTTTAAATTTATTCAATCCCTTTTTTTTTTTTTTTTTTGTTGTCTTCAAATTAAATCAATACCACTAACCAAATTTTTGGGATTTTTGAATTTTATTATTTTAAAAATCATACTTCATTGTGATAATGAATCATATATAATTATTTGTATTATGGGATATAGTAGAGATGCTTTTTATGTTAAATCATGGGTGTAGCCCAAAAAGTCAAGCATAGTCAGCACAATTAAGTCTCTCTGTACCAGCTGCCAAGCCCATATCTCAAAGATATTCTCACCAACTTTATCTCATTCAAAGAGATGAATGGACGAGAGCCTTCCATGTGTCACGAGGAGTTTGCAAAAGCTCTCATTGCATTGAGTGCAAATGTGATAAAATGGATTTTTCTCTTCCGAAGAAGGGAGGCTGGTGGCTGGGCTGAGATTTAGCTTCAATTCTTTCTCTCTGTAAAAACACTGTATTTCTTCATCTTTGTATGCCTTATGGGCAAATTCAAGAAATAGTGAGAGATCAATAAAATAACAGTGGATGTAGGAGTCGCTGTTGCATCCGAACCACTATAAAAACCCTCTTGCCAATCTTTTACTTATATAATCTGCAAAATATATATCTCAGCTCCATATCAAATCTCATGGATCCATCACGTGTGTCTCCTGAGTCAGCTCAGCGTTTCCCAAGTGCGAGTCGTTGGCTTCCAAAATCAAGCGTCAACAGTTTGGTGGCCCATGCAGGTCCGATTCTCAAGCCTGCATCCAAGTTCCCTGATGGCGTGCTCAGATCTCAAACCTCGCAGGAATTCTCCAATCGTTGGCCAGATCGCAGATCGCACACGTTAGAATTCCCAATCGCGTGGCCAGAGCGCACGCGTCAGAGTTCTCGATCGCGTGGCCAGATCGTAGATCGTACGCGTTAGAATTCTTCGATTACGTATCAGAATTCTCTAATCACGTGGCCAGATCACAGATCGCACGCATCAGAGTTCTCCGATGCGTGGCCAGATCGCAGATCGCACGCCCATGCCATCCTGATCCTCAGCTTCAGATCGCGAATCTTTGCTTCAAATCGCGTGGCCAGATGCAGAACACATGCATCAGAGTTCTCCGATCGCGGGCCAGATCGCAGATCGCACGCCCATGCCGTCCTGATCCTCAACTTCAGATCGCGGACCTTAGCTTCAAATCACGTGTTCGAATGCGTATCACACGCTGAGATCGCTGATCTCTGTGCTCTTTGGTAGAGCTGTTATGATCTCTCAGGTCGAGCTCGTTTTGACTTTTCAGGTCGAGCTCGTTTTGACCTTTCAGGTCGAGCTCGTTTTGACCTCTAAAATTGAGGTCGTTTTTCCATTTGAGCTCGTTTTGATCTCTCAAGTTGAGGTCGTTTTGCTTTTTGACCTCTCAAGTTGAGGTCGTTTTGCTCATTGAGCTGTTTTGACCTCTCAGTTAAGGTCGTTTTGACCTCAAGTTGAGGTCGTTTGCTTCATCAGGTCGTTTTGACCTCTCAAGTCGAGGGCGTTTTGCTCTCAAGTGAGCTCGTTTTGTTCAGATTGAGCTCGTTTTGACCTCTCAAGTGAGGTCGTTTTGATCATTGAGCTCGTTTTGACCTCTCAAGTTGAGGTCGTTTTGCTCATTGAGCTCGTTTTGACCTCTCAAGTTGAGGTCGTTGTGCTTGTTGAGCTCGTTTTGACCTCTCAAGTTGAGGTCGTTTTTGCTCATTGAGCTCGTTTGACCTCTCAAGTTGAGCTCGTTTTGCTCATTGAGCTCGTTTTGAACTCTCAAGTTGAGGTCGTTTTGCTCATGAGGCGTTTGACCTCTCAAAGTGGGTGTTTTGCTCATTGAGGTCGTTTGACCTCAAGTTGAGGTCGTTTTGCTTATTGAGTTCATTTGGACCTCTCAAGTTGAGGTCGTTTTGCTCATTCAGGTCGTTTTGACCTCTCAAAGTGAGGTCGTTTTGCTCATTGAGCTCGTTTTGACCTCTCAGTTGAGGTCGTTTTGCTTTTTGAGTCGTTTTGACCTCTTGGTCGAGGTCGTTTTGCTCTCAAGTTGAGCTCGTTTTGCTCAGATTGAGCTCGTTATGACCTTTCAGGTCGTTCTCCTACCAGATTTGGTCGTTTCCTAACAGATTTCTGGTCGCTCCTAACAGATTTTGGCGTTTTCCTAACAGATTTCTGGTCGTTTTCCTAAGATTTCTGATCATCTTCCTAACAGATTCAGTTCGAGCTCTTCAGTTCGAGACTGCAGCCAGTCAGATCAAAGACTTAGTTTCTGAAGCGCGATTACGCACTTCAAAAAATGGGGGGCTTCTGTTATGCCTTCAAAAAGTCAAGCCTATGTCAGCACAATTAATGTCTCTCTGTACCAGCTGCCAAGCCCATATCTCCAAAGATATTCTCACCAACTTTATCTCATTTCAAAGAGATGAATGGACGAGAGCCTTCCATGTGTCAAGGCAGTTTGCAAAAGCTCTCATTGCATTGAGTGCAAATGTGAATAAATGGATTTTTCTCTTCCCGAAGAAGGGAGGCTGGTGGCTGGGCTGAGATTTAGCTTCAATTCTTTCTCTCTGTAAAAACACTGTATTTCTTCATCTTTGTATGCCTTACGGGCAAATTCATAGAAGTAGGGAGAGATCAAATAAAATAACAGTGGATGTAGGAGTCGCTTGTTGCATCCGAACCACTATAAAAACCCCCTCTTGCCAATCTTTTACTTATATAATCTGCAAAATATATAATCTCAGCTCTATATTCAAATCTCATGGATCCATCACGTGTGTCTCCTGAGTCAGCTCAGCGTTTCCCACGTGCGAGTCGTTGGCGTCCAAAATCAAGCGTCAACACATGGAATTGTCAAAACAGTTTTATTAGTAGAAAGTTGAATGGACGACTCTTAGCCCCATTGATAAGTTCAAATATTCCTAAATACTGATTATTGTTGTGTATTATTCATATCATGTGTGATTTGTATCCAAGTATTAGCATTAATGTGGTTTGCACTTCCGTTGGTTATTGATTTGATTAATGAATGTGTAGTTTTTTTAACAATTGCAATTGTATATAGTAATCTTATCCGAGATTAAGGTTATACACAGGTTCAAAACAAGTAAAGGGGAAAAGTCTATGTGGTTGCTTAGTCTCGATTGTCGGCAATGTCCAGTGAGAAGCCAAAATCTAATGTAGCAAATGGACGTGCTGGTGATTCTAAGAAATTGAGTTCTAAGGTCAAGGGATCCTGAATTACGTGAAGTCAATATTTATGAAACTTATTGATGATATAACTTTAAATCATTTAAAAATACTGATAGCGATGATAATAATATTATAAGATCACTTTCAAAAGCTCAACTTATTTACAAATAATTCAAGAACGACAACAACTTGTTAACACATAAGGTATTGTTTATTATACAGACACCATGGTTTTTACACAGGGAAATCGTCATTTCTTTTTTTAATGACCGAAGTGTTAAGATCAGTTTTGCACGTGCTTCAATTAATCTCGAGATCCATTGAAATTGCCATTCTTTCGGCAAAATCTCTATTACGACACAAACAATGCATCATAATGTATGACATATATTGTATACATGGCAACGCCGGGCCGGCATCGGAGGAGACTAATTAAATTCATCCAAACAAGTTTATATGTAATAAGAAGCTTTGATTTACATCTTACATATGATTGAGATTGTAGACAACAAGAAGCCCCATGATGAGGGAGTGATCAACACAAGGTTTGACCACCACTGTCAACACATCATCTCCTAGAACAACTCCACTTCTTGTTTCCTTCTTCTTCACTTCTGCAACTACTTCTCCAAACATGTCTGTTATCTTGCATCCAACACCCATCTTGTTTGTCCCGCTGCTCTTTATCTTGTACTTATATGGCTCATTTTTATCCAACCCTAATACAACCTTACACTCGCACCTCCTCAAAATCTTAAAGGCTTTTCTCACTTGAAATCCAGGCTTCTTCAGGTCAATCTCCTTATCGCAAGCCCTGTAACCTTCCCAGCTCAACCCCAACAATCTAAACTTCTGTATGCACAAAACTGTATCAGTATCAGTATCATAGAATGATTGTTACTACGGCAGCACTGTTAAAGTATACTATACCCATTGTATATAATTGCGATATTTTAAAGATTACCTTTCTAATAATGGTGAAGAGAACTCTGCCATCGAAGTCCATGAGAAAAACTTCGTTGCCGGAGTTGGAGTTGTAGTTATCGACGCGGTACATGACATGGCCATCGGAGTCGAATACAGTGCAACCTTTACCGTTCAGTACCAGAGATTTCATCCAGACTGTGAACGTTTCTTGTTTGGATGTGAAGTAGCATGGAGCTGTAGAAGAAGATGAAGAAGAAGAAGGAGCAAGTGGCCCATGGCCAGGATAAACCTTTGACGCCTTTAGAGACGTTGAATTCGCCATGCACAGCGAACCTTTTAGTTATAAGTTAGAGCTTTTAAGAGCTCCAGATCATGTATGGCCTCTTAACAATAGTGCATTATTATATATATAATGCATTTTATTGCTTTAAAATTCGGATTTATATAAAGAAACTTGGTTAGAAGTTTCTTTTTTAGGTTAATTGAAACTATATAATCAGATTGATAGTCTTAAAAAAATGCAAACATTCAGGCTAAACACCGACCTTATAATATAATAGTAATATATATTTTAAGATAAACTTAAATAAAATGGCTTTTGGGCAAGTGGGTTATGGCTTAAAATTAGATGTAATGTCATTTTTTGTGTGGGGAAGTTTGCTGTTATTTGAGTTATAATACTAATCCCACTTGATTAGCACACGACTTAAGAGGAGCGGTTTCAGCCGATTTGCTAAATTTCTTGACTTGTTCTTAGTTTTCATATGAAAGAATTGCAACTTGCTCATTAACTTAATCGGAGCTTATCAGTTTAGTTAGGTCATTAATTTTGGAACTTTTGTTGTTTCAATCTCATGAGAAGATTTGATTATTAAAATAACAAATGAATGATCATATTTTGATGTGGACTATGTTGGAAAATGACTTGGTTAGAGGCAAGAATATATCGACTCAACTTGTGTCGAAACCATGGTTTTAAAACCCAAATTAGATTGGCCAGTTTGATTGAGAACCCGTCCATTGAATTGCTAAAACAGGTTTTAGCCATTGGACCGGACTGACTCAGAATTGAACCGACGGGAAGTCAGGAAAAGTGTCAAACTGCGGTTCAACCGCTGAGTCAGACAACTAGTTTGCACAAGAACGCCCATGCTAGGATAAGGAACGCTCGCTCATTCATGTATAATGAATGCCCATTATTAACAAGTAGAACTTCCGGTACTATATCTATAATTAAAATTTTATTAATTATTAGAGTTTTAAAATTTTATTATGTCATGCTGATGTCAACATGCCGTCACTGGCCTGACTTGGGGACCAATCACTTGACCGAGTCAAGGCCAATCTGAATATAAAGACATTGGTCGAAATAAGCTTGAAATCCTGATGATAACGTCGCACTGAGATAAAAGTGATCGTATATGTGCAACTAAACAGTTAATCAACTTAGTAACTTGCTTAGTGTAATATTATATTTATTAATTTCCTATATATATATAATATCCCTTTAGACCTTACCTAAAAGATCATGATAAGTATCGAAAAATAATTAAATAATTAAGGTTAGCTGGCTGACCAATCCAATAATTAATAAATTAATTGTGTCAATTTGTGTCTTCCATTTGAAGCTTCCTTAGTGGGGAGCAATAAACAATTAACCAAAATTAGGCATTTTCTTTGGCATCAATCCATCCCTAATTTGGGATTAATTTTGTTACATAAATACCTAGAAAAAAAAAACTACCAAAATGGGAAAATCAACTAACGAATCACCAATTAATAGGTGTATTAAGAAATGAATATTAATTTTATTTTAAAAGCTAATTAACTCACGAAACATGATTAAGGAGATTAATTATGCACTTAATTATGGATTAGCAAAAACGCGGTTTGGAAGGGAAGGGAAGGGAATTGGAGACAGCCAGCCAGCACCAGCAATATGATTGGCACATTTAACTAACTGAAACTAAAACTAAAACTAAAACTAAAACTACATACAAACACGTGTCATGAGTCAGACTTACTTTTACACGCAAGTACACAAACCAGACAACATTTCAACTCATGTCTCCCAAATTAGATTTGTTATATCCTAATACATGTTAAATATCTAACATTTAATTAATTAATCTGACGGTATTTTTGGTTTGAAAATTAAAAATTATACTTGTTTCACATTAATAATTTAGTATATCATATATATATATATATATATATATATATATATATTATATATATATGATCTCTTCTCTTTTGAATAAGTATTTAAATATAGTTAATATTACAATACTAGATTCATCTTAGTGCGTAAAGAAAATATTAGAAATTAATTTATTTACATCTTTAATTTAGTGAGGATATATAAATAATAATATGTATATCTTAATAATTATGCATTAATTTGTGGTAGAGGTCATGTGTTATAGGATTGATAAATGTGATTTGATAAGGACATGAATCGAGTTTATTTTGAAAACATTGAGTAATAAGGAGAGGGGAGGTTGTTTTGGAATTTGATTGTTAGAAACGACGTCGTTTGGTTATTTTGCTTGTTGTGCTGTACACTAGAGTCCATATTTATATCATGTACCCACGTTAGCCTAGGAAATGTCCCTTTCTCTGCCACAGAAAAAAAAAAATAAATAATATAAAAAAATAAAAAGGAAACTTTTTAGTCAATTTAGATTGTATATGAAAACAAGAATATTATATATGATCATATGAAATGTTTGCATTTATGTATGATCTTCAGATGAAATGAAATGCAGGTGGTTTTGATGGTATGATCTTCAACATTTGATTAAAAAATTGTTTCTTTTCCATGTTGAGAATATCAAGTTGATGTTTTGTTTTGGGAATTGATTCATTAAATTTTGAAAGAATCGCTTTCTGGGTAACCAAAACTTGTCTCCATCTTTTTGAGCTTTCGGTTGATCACGGGTTTTGTTTTGTGTACGTGGCATAAATCTGAAGATCTTAGTTGTCATGTTATTGATTACCTTTTTTCAGGTAAATTCTTGATCAGAGAATTGCTTACATATATATGCACGTATTCACCTACCTATTTGGGGATCATTTGTAGGTAGATTTTCTTTTTTAATTCTCTTGTTTTGGTTGTAATGAGGAAATGATCCCAATTGATAGTTATTGAGAAGGTTTAATTTGGTTTTGTACTTCCCGGTTTTGAGAATTTTTATGATTTTGTTCTGAGCTCCATATCATTTCAGGAGGGTTGTGAGTTTTATTGTATATATTTATATATATATATTTTTTTTTTGGTGAAAGTGTAGCTAAATTGTATAAGTTTGGATTTGATTTTATGTATATATTGCTGTAGCCATTTCTTGTATTGGGATAGAAAGCTAAGAGCTGCTAAGTGAGTTACAAAGATTTTTGGTTGGTATTGATTTGGGTGTAAAAGATTCTGGGGGTTGTGCTGAGAGTCTTCAGGATTTGATATTTGGTTTTCTTGGAATTTGAAGTTTTCTTTGTATTGAGGTGAATTTGATAGCAGTGTTAGATGAGCATATCATAATGAGCGGGCCAGTAGGGTTGTTTGTAGATGGATGCCCCCGGGAAGACATTCTCTGAACTAGTTGGTTTATTGAAATCATGGATTCCTTGGCGATCCGAGCCTGCTCATCTATCGAGGGATTTCTGGATGCCAGATCAAAGCTGTAGAGTCTGCTACGAATGTGATTCCCAGTTTACGCTTTTTAACCGCAGACACCATTGTCGACTCTGTGGTAGAATTTTCTGTGGTCAGTGTACAGCAAACTCAGTTCCTGCCCCATCTGTTGAATCAAATTCTTCTCGGGAAGAGTGGGAGATTCGGGTATGTAATTATTGTTTCAAACAATGGCAGCAGGGTATAGATACTCTTCATAATGGAACCCAGGTTCCTAAAATTAATCTCAGTACTTCACCATCAGTGGCAAGTTTGGCCAGCACTAAATCTAGTGGCACTGCTAAAAGTAGCAGCTTTACTCCTGGCTCGTTATCATATTCAATTGGCCCTTATCAACGAGCTCAACACAATTCTGGTGTCAGCCCTCGTCAATTACCAATAATGGAGAAAAGCTCAGAGAGGCAAGGCACAGTAGCATCAAGAACAAATAATGACCTTGTTGCTGATATAGACGATCCATCTCCAAACCAATATTCATTTTCGATGAACAGGTCAGATATTTCATTCCTGTTAATTATTTTTGTCGCTGTAGAACATTATACATGTATAACAGCCTTGACTTGAACTTTCATTCATTCAGATATTTTTATATTTGCAATTGTTATTTGATATTAGTTAACATTAGGATAACAACCAAGGATATGATTAATAATGCATTTGAACATGGAAGTTTATGCTCTTAATCTTAAAGGATGGGAGGGCTTAGGAGTTTTCCAATATGTCAATATTTATATTAGGAGCACAACCCTTTGGAAATTTCTTCTTGTAGCCTTGTTGGGCATTAGTACAGTTACAATGAAATTAGTTGGTGTCACTCAACAACACTGGTTTTTATACGCCACTTTTAGTCACTTCTGTTTTTGCATTTTTATATTTGACTGTTTTAGTGGCATCAGGAGTGATGATGAGGACGACGAGTATGGTGTATATCGCTCTGATTCTGAAACAAGGCATTTTCCTCAAGTTAATGACTTTTACGGTCCAGTAGAGTTTGATGACATGAGCAATGATGATGGGTCACACAGAATGCAACTTGATCAAGAAAATACAGCCACAAAAAGTTTGAGCGGGTCTCCACTACACACCAGTTTTGGATCACAAGGCTTAGAAGGAATCCAACAGCTTGAGAAAAAGAACGAGCATGATATTGGTGATGAATGTGAGGCACCTTCCTCTTTATATGCTTCAGAGAATGTCAATGCTGGGCCTGTGGATTTTGAAAATGATGGAGTTCTCTGGCTCCCACCTGATCCGGAAGATGAAGAAGATGATAGAGAAGCTGGTCTTTTTGATGATGATGATGATGATGGTGTTGGTGATCCTACAGGAGAGTGGGGATATTTCCGGACCTCAAGCAGCTTCGGTAGTGGGGAGTTCCGCAATAGGGATAAATCATTTGAAGAGCACAAGAAAGCCATGAAGAATGTGGTTGATGGGCATTTTAGGGCTTTGGTGGCTCAGCTATTACAGGTTGAGAATCTTTCTGTTGGTGATGAAGATGATGAAGAGAGCTGGTTGGAGATCATCACATCTCTGTCTTGGGAAGCTGCTACACTCTTAAAGCCGGATATGAGCAAAAATGGAGGAATGGACCCTGGTGGCTATGTAAAAGTAAAATGCATTGCTTCTGGATGTCGCCGTGAGAGGTAAACAGCAGAAAGTAACTTCTTATGTATATATG